GTACATCTGATAGCTAAACCAGATGTTTCTTTACTATTTTCTTGAATAAACAATAGACTTATATAAAGCCTATGTTCGACGCAAACAAATAGAGTTGTTAATTTGGCAGGATGCTCTCCAAGCTCCCAGGGCTTGAAATGATGCTGTACCTTTTCGTAATAAACCTTTATATACAATCAAGATGGTGTCAGCGGACTTCTCTTCAACACATCTTCACATCATCGCTACTTAATATACCACAATATATATATATATATATATATATATATATATATATATATTAACCTCTATCTATCACATAATGTTAGTGTTTATACCTTAACTATGAGAACCAACACTGTGTTATATGCTTGTCTTTACAGGTACAGCAGTGAGCAGTGACCTACAGTCTACACAGCCCAGTGAAGTTAAACATATTATATATTACATAATATTAACAACATTAGTCAAGCAGTTGTTTCTAGTGAAGAAATAGCCAGTAAATGTACCAAAGTAATCAGAGTAATAGTATGATGATGACTGTAACCTCCCATCTGTTATATTCTTTATACACATTAGTTTTCTGAGACCATGGAAACAGAAACCTGGAATACTTTATCCTTTACAACATGTCAACATAAGTGAAGGAATCACTCATCTAATAAAGTAAATTGTTTATGGGGTTGAAAAACTGCTAAGTAACCAACTGTAAACTGTACTGTATCCATATTTCATAGTCTGATATTTTAAAAAATATTACTAAAGTTAACCTTCAGTTAACTGAAACACTGGATACAGGTTATCAGTTCCAATGCCAATAGTGATAGTGGTGTAATGGTTCATACTACTGTGTGAGATTTATTGTGATAGGATCATCAGTGTTAGTGTGCTGTTTCAGTTAACCATCAGGAATAGGAAGACGAACTGAGGAGGACTCGCGTGTTCCTGCTGGGTGGAGGCATGTTGAAGCTCGTTGTGACACATCATCCTAATGTTGATTATATAACATCATACCTGACTGCCCTCGTCACAGCCTGCTGCCTTTAGTGATGCATGGCAAAACATACCGCCTCGTTAAGTTGGCTTATGATTTGCTCAACTGTATAACGATTGGTGGTGACACGGTCGTCGTTAAAGTTTTGGAGAAGCTGATCGATACCCTAATTGGGCTTTTGAGGAAATCTCAGCCCATTGTATGGGGAATCTCAGCGACTGTACGCCGGATCCTCTCCGGTGTCAGGGGAGCCGATCTAAACCACAGCGTCGACGATTACTATGAGTGCGTTTAAAGCCCTAGGCTCGTCATGCTATACTTTTGGCGCTGCGGATGGATACGGGCGGAAACGGAAGACGTGTGTGTGGGATTTTTCCGCCACATGCCACTGTGGGTTCCCACCCGACCCGACCCGACCCAACCCAACCCGACCCGACCCGACCCGAGGGTCGGGGGCCATATAAGCAAACAACGCAGTTTTCATGCTTTGCCTTGTTGCATTATTCATTAACAATTTTCTGTAATTCAAACAACTCGTGTCCATTGTCTTCTTTAATGTTTTTTAAAGCTCTTCGGGTTAACGCTGGTTCAGATATTGTTTATATTTATGATCAAACGGCTTCTTAATGTCAGGACTTCCACGCAGACATAAAATGGCTGCTGAGATCCTGTCGGTCGCTGTGGCGTTTATCAGGAAATAGTGACTGATCGTGGTGTGTTTAAGGTCATTCAGAAAGCTCAGTATTTTTCAGTCTCCACGCAGTGTATGTATGTGTGTGTGTGTGTGTGTGTGTGTGTGTGTGTGTGTGTGTGTTCACAGAGTATTCAGGTTTGTATCTGTGTTTCTTCTGTTTTCTGTATAAAGTGTTATTATCAACTATATTTGAATAATCAATATTTGTTTGATCCACAAAATCAAATGTGACTGGAGACAAACAATCTGCAGCAGAACCACAAAGGCTCATTGAAGAGCCAGCAGCATCTGCAGAGCAAAGTCCTTTAGTGTGCTCAACACGCTAACAGGCTAACAGGCTAACAGGCTAACATGCTAACAGGCTAACAGCCTAACAGGCTAGCAGTAGTATTAGCAGTAATATAATAACTGTAATGTTATAATAACTGTAATATAATAAGTAATATTATAATAACTGTAATATAATAACTGTAATATAATAAGTAATATTATAATAACTGTAATATAATAACTGTAATATAATAACAGTAATATAATAATTAATATTATAATAACTGTAATATAATAACTGTAATATAATAATTAATATTATTATAACTGTAATATAATAACTGTAATATAATAAGTAATATTATTATAACTGTAATATAATAACTGTAATACAATAAGTAATATTATAAGTAATATTATAATAACAGTAATATAATAAGTAATATTATTATAACTGTAATATAATAACTAATATAATAACTGTAATACAATAAGTAATATAACTAATATTATAATAACTATAATATAATAACAGTAATATAATAAGTAATATTATTATAACTGTAATATAATAACTGTAATATAATAAGTAATATTATTATAACTGTAATATAATAACTAATACAATAAGTAATATTATAACTAATATTATAATAACTGTAATATAATAAGTAATATTATTATAACTGTAATATAATAACTGTAATACAATAAGTAATATTATAAGTAATATTATAATAACTGTAATATAATAAGTAATATTATTATAACTGTAATATAATAACTGTAATACAATAAGTAATATTATAACTAATATTATAATAACTATAATATAATAACAGTAATATAATAAGTAATATTATAATAAATGTAATATAATAAATGTAATATAATAACTGTAATACAATAAGTAACATTATAATAACTGTAATATAATAAGTAATATTATTATAACTGTAATATAATAACTGTAATACAATAAGTAATATTATAACTAATATTATAATAACTATAATATAATAACAGTAATATAATAAGTAATATTATAATAAATGTAATATAATAACTGTAATATAATAAGTAATATTATAATAACTGTAATATAATAACTGTAATATAATAAGTAATATTATAATAACTGTAATATAATAACTGTAATATAATAACTGTAATATAATAAGTATAAGTATATAATAAGATATAGTTACTCTAGATGGCATTACCTTGGCCTCTAGCACCACTGTCAGGAATCTTGGAGTTATCTTTGATCAGGATTTGTCATTTAACTCCCACATAAAGCAGACCTCTAGGACTGCCTTCTTTCATTTACGTAATATTACAAAAATTAGACACATCCTATCACAGACAGATGCAGAAAAACTAATCCATGCATTTGTTACTTCAAGGCTGGATTACTGCAACTCTTTATTATCAGGTTGCCCCAATAAGTCCATTAAAACGCTCCAATTAATTCAGAACGCTGCAGCACGAGTACTGACAGGAACTAGAAAAAGAGATCACATCTCTCCTGTACTAGCTTCTCTGCACTGGCTCCCTGTAAAATGTAGAGCAGAATTTAAAATCCTCCTCCTCACCTATAAAGCTCTTCATGGTCAGGCCCCTTCATATCTTAAAGAGCTCATAGTACCCTATTACCCCACTAGAACATTACGTTCTCTGAATGCTGGCTACTTGTGGTTCCTATAGTCTCTAAAAGTAGAACAGGAGCCAGAGCCTTCAGTTACCAAGCTCCTCTCCTGTGGAACCAGCTTCCAGTTGTGGTTCGGGAGGCAGACACCCTCACCACATTCAAGAGTAGGCTTAAGACATTCCTCTTTGATAAAGCTTATAGTTAGGGCTGGATCAGGTGAGTCCTGAACCATCCCTTAGTTATGCTGCTATAGGCCTAGACTATCGGGGGATTTCCCATGGTGCACTGAGCTCCTCCCTTCCTCTCTCTTTCTGCACTCATTCATGTTCCATTAATGCATGTTACTAACTTCACTTCTTCCCCGGAGTTCTTGTGCTTTCTCGTCTCGCAGGTTCTTGTCGATCCTGGTGGAGCCTCCTGCCATGGTCCTGCTAGATTGCCATTGCCAATACTGTTGTTGCTGTGCACCTGTCTGTCTGTCTGTCTGTCTGTCTCTCTCTCTCTCTCTCTCTCTCTCTCTCTCTCTCTCTCTCTCTCTCTCTCTCTCTCTCTCTCTCTCTCTCTCACCCCAACCGGTCGAGACAGACGACCACCCACCTAGAGCCGGAGGATCTGTCCTAGGTTTCTGCCTTTTAACAGGCAGTTTTCCTTGCCCTTGTCGCCAAGTGCTCATGGTGGTAATGTTGGGTCTCTGTAATTAATGTTTTAAAGAGTTCGGTCTAGACCTGCTCTATTTGAAAAGTGTCCTGAGATAACTTCTGTTATGAATTGGCGCTATACAAATAAAATTGAATTGAATTGAATTGAATTAATATAATAACTGTAATATAATGACTAATATTATTATAACTGTAATATAATAACAGTAATATTATAACTGTAATATAATAACTAATATTATTATAACAGTAATATAATAACAGTAATATTATAACTGTAATATAATGACTAATATTATTATAACTGTAATATAATAACAGTAATATTATAACTGTAATATAATAACTAATATTATTATAACAGTAATATAATAACAGTAATATTATAACTGTAAAATAATAACTAATATTATTATAACAGTAATATAACAACTAATATTATTATAACTGTAATATAATAACTGTAATATTATAACTGTAATATAATAACTGTAATATTATAACTGTAATATAATAACTGTAATATAATAACGAATATTATTATAACAGTAATATAATAACTAATATTATTATAACTGTAATATAATAACAGTAATATAATAACGAATATTATTATAACAGTAATATAATAACTAATATTATTATAACTGTAATATAATAACTGTAATATTATAACTGTAATATAATAACAGTAATATAATAACGAATATTATTATAACAGTAATATAATAACTAATATTATTATAACTGTAATATAATAACTGTAATATTATAACTGTAATATAATAACTAATATTATTATAACTGTAATATAATAACAGTAATTGAAAGGTAGCCATTTTTATTCACACACACAAAGTAACCTCCATATCAGAATAAAAAGAAAATGTATAAAGCATAATATACTGTTATATATATATATATATAAACACATAAACAAAAACAAGAAAATTATATGTAGCCTACAGTGCTGTAAATAAATACAGTATATGGTATTCATGGTATTATGTTGATATGATCATGTTGACTAATTTTGACAATTGAACAGATTATTGTGCAGGTGATGACTTATAGAATGAAATGATGCTGACATGTTTTGGAGAGAACAACCATTAGACTGAGAATCAATCAATCAGTTTAGATCAACAGGATCTATTCACTTGGAAATTGTGCTAAATGTAGGCTAACTGTAGGCTAACTGTAGGTTAACTGTACTTAATCATTTGCAAAGATGAACTAAGACATTTGCAATGTGTGCAATTGAGAGAGAAGAGGTTCAACAAGCTCCTTTCAAGATTTGTCCTCTACATTTAACATGGGAGTAGATGGGGCCGTGAGAGGGTGTTGCTGGCGCATCAGTGCGTCTCCCGCCAAAACTATTTGTCTGACAGCTTCAGCAGTAGTATAACTGTGACCCCAACGGATTTAGCTACGTTTCTTTCTATAAATTACTTTTATAGAGTTTACAAATTTATTTTATATTATTATTTTAATTTGTTTTTTTCAGTTGAAATTCTCGCAATACACACCCATTCATTTTTTGGACCGTTTTTTTGCGATTTATCGGCAAACTGTTTGGCGTAACGCTTAGAAAAGTCACAGCACTAATGTCCTCACCGAGCCGCACGTTTTGATACCTTTTTTGTGTACGTGCGACCAAAACTGCGGGAGGAGAAGCGCGCCAAAAACGTACGGAAGAATAAAATATTATAAGTATGGGGAAGAGTAGTATTGTTCTTTTCAAGGAACAATAATTAGATTATTGTCTATTTAATTCTGGACATTTGACCGTTTCCCACCAAGACTTTGTTGTCTATCAGACATCAAGAATACAGAAATATGTCTTCCAAGATGAATATAATAATGTATATAATGTACACAGATGTTTATCCTGATAAATTGTTGTGGTTTGCTGTCTCCAGGCAACTTACTGTAAATGTTTTGTATGTGAAATCATTGATCTGTTTGTTTTCATCTGTTCAGCAGCTCTAACACATCTGTCTCCTCTTCCAGTTATGGGTGGTTCAACACTGCTCTCATGGTGGAAGGTAAATCCTATTTGCCTTGGCTGATGGATTGGTGAGTGATTAACTCTCTTAAGTAACTCTCCGTGTTGTATCAGCACTTTATTTACCAGAACTCAGAAGAGTTGAACCCAGTTCTGGTTTAAAGTCTGGCGGCTGCCTTTTGTACTAACTATAAATTATTTAATGATTTGAATTTGTAATTAAACTGATCTGAAATCATTCTGAAATGTTAAAGTTTTGTGAAGTTGAAACGTCTCTAGGTTTTGGAAAATAAATGTTCTTTCTTCAATATCAAAATGAAATTGCATCAGTCTATTCTGAGCTGGGGATGTCCTGGCTAATATCTGACATATACCAGTCTATGATAATCCATAACAATTTATAATTTAGTTCACCGTATTTCATTCAAATTTGTGGTTTATTGACCATGAATTCCAAAAGGAAGGGTGAAACTTGTGGCAATGAATTGGAATAAGGTTGACTAAAAAGGTTAATTTTGACCCCTGTTTCCATCCAGGGGGTCAGTGTAGACACTGTGGAGGATTACAAGTACCTGGGAGTTCACATGGACAATAAACTGAACTGGACTAAGAACACTCAAGCCCTCTACAGGAAGAGCCAAAGCCATCTCTATTTTCTGAGGAGGCTGAGGTCCTTCATCATCTGCAGGACCATGCTGAGGATGTTCAATGAGTCTGTGGTGGCCAGTAATACTGTGGAATATGTTTACATTTAGGAAACAGGAAATAGAAATGAAGCAGGCAGATGTGTGTCTCTTTCTTCAGTGTCTTCTCAAGTTATTTTATTAAACATTTACCAACTGCAAACAGTCATTGTCTCTTGTACTTTGGTTCTTTGTGTTCACAACATGTTTCTTTCATCCATGTATGAAGCATGTAAAGGTTATTAAGGCTATTCAATAGTAAAATATATAAATAATAAACACCATGTATGCCTTTATCAGACATCAAATCTCTAAAATGTATCTAAACTTACTTTACATCAATCAAAAGTATCAAAATTCACAATCTCTCATATTACATTCACTCATTTCTGCCTCAATACTTTCCTAAAATCAGCTTATTTGACAATAAAATCTGGCATCTGAATCATCTTAGCTATTCTGTACTTTAACAGAATAGACACACATTGACTGTACATGGACAAGACTATGGCTAATGGTGGCTGTTATATTAATATGATGAACTGAGAACCACAGGGCTGCACTGTCACCTCCTGTCTATAGGTGAAAGCACACTTCCCAGGAAGTTATGTAGATCCTTCTGCTTTTCTACTGTTTTAAATAAGACAGTACATTTTAAAGTTCAGAAATGAATAATCAAAAACACCAATAAACAAATGTGACCATACATTTTGTGTGCGTCACACAATGAATCCTGGATCCCATTTAAGAGTCTCAGTGCTGTCTAATGTCAATGCTGGCCAGGGGCAGATCTAGAGGGCCAGCAGACACTTCTAAACAATGCCTGGACACTGGCGTGTCAAATGTATTGATTTCTAATGCCACCTTAGATATTTATATTTAACTTCACTTATTTTTCAGTCAGTATCAACCTTAAAAAAGTATAATATAGAACTATAAAACACACTAATACTGATACATACAATATATTGGGGATGCTGTATAATAAATGTGCTTTACATTCACTTTACATGCTTTTAACATTCAAGGAACTGCATGTTTTTGTCTTTGGAAGACCAGTTTTCTCCTGAAATCTTGGCTCATTAAATTGTCTGTTGCTTATGAGAGGAGCTGAGTGGCGTTAATGAAGCTTCCCTGAACTCCACCTGCTGCTGTCAACACTATTTGATCAATATTGTTATTATAATTATTATTATTATGTTGTTAATATTGACTGTAAGTTGAGGGATGAAGTCACCTCTCAGCCTCCAAACTCCGCCCACTAGTACCTGTGTCACCAGTGATGTCATTATGCTGTCATAAAGTAGTATAGATAGGACTTGTCTCAGGCTTTAGCTTCAGCTCTGGGGGGGTATCGGGGACACGACGGTGACCTCGAAGCCCGGTAGAGCCACTGAGCTTCAGGCTCGTGGCGATGCCTTCCCATGCCTGACCGGCGCGCAACGGTCACTGGCAGGATGACCCCCAGAGCTCCTGTGAAAAGACAAACCCCAAATACCTCTCTCTCTCTCTCTGTCCTTTTCCACTTTCTCTGTCCTTTCTCACTATCTCTATCCTCTCTTTCCTTCTTTCTTTCTTTCTCTTTTCACAAAAACAAAAAATAATTGTGTCTATGACACAAAGGAAAATGTTCAGTTTTCCTTTAAATCAATCAAATTGAATCTATATTTTAGATTCATTTTGTTTTGTTTTGCAGGTCTGGCCTGGGTTACAATAAATCCATGACCCACTTTGTTTTAAAGTAGACAGTTATCAGTTTATTACTCAATACTTTATCATTATTTTACTAATAATACATTATGATTAATGGTTTGATCAGTTCAAATGTCCATTAGAGTTCATTAAAGTGATTTATCAAGATAGAAAAATAGCTCAAATAATGGTTACTGGACCATTTTTATTAAATATGTGATAAATATTTTAAATTGAGTTTAAAGTTAAACAATAAAAAAATAAAGTTTGAATCCTGATTTCAATTTCAGAATTCTAAATTCAAAATCAAACAGAGTTTAGATGTTTTATTTATTATTATTATTTGAATTCTAGTTTTTATTATTTGTTTTATTCTTTTTATTCCACCGTAGTTTATATTTCCTCTATATTTGTATTTGTATCTAATTTTTATGTTGTTAAATCCAACTTAAATGTGTTTTCTTTTATATCTTAATGGCATTTTAAGTCGTACAGTACATCTGGAAAATAATCACATTAAATTCATGTTTTTCCTCAAAACTCTACACACAATAATCCATAATGACAACATGAAAAAAGTTGTTTTTGCTTATTTATTAAAAATAAAGAACAAAAATATAACATGTACATAAGTATTCACAGCCTTTGCTCAGTACTTTGTTGAAGCACCTTTGACAGCAATTACAGCCTCAAGTCTTTTTGAGTATGAAGCTACAAGCTTGGCAGACGGATTATTGGACAGTTTCTGTTTCGTAGGACCTTGTTTCCTCCAGACATGATGTTTGGCATTCAGGTCAAAGAGTTCAATCTTTGTTTCATCAGAGCAGAGAATTTTGATTCTCATGGTCATAGTCCTTCAGGTGCCTTTTGGCACTTGGGGCTGTTGTTCTTTATCGTGTACCGGGCTTCATGGATTCCCACAAATATCAGGCCATTTTAAAGAGGAAAGTGATGCCTTCTGTTGACAAATGAAACCTTGGTGATCATTGGACAGCAAGACAATGATCCGAAGCACACCTCCAAGTCAACCAAAGTTTGGTTTAGAAAAAGATCCTGGACCGTCCTGTAGTGGCCTTCTCAGTCACCAGATTTAAATCTGTTGCAGCACGGAAACTGAACATTTTCATTTTGTCATAGACACAATTATTTTTTGTTTTTGTGAAAAGAGAAAGAAAGAAAGAAGGAAAGAGAGGATAGAGATAGTGAGAAAGGACAGAAAAAGTGGGAAAGGACAGAGAGAGAGAGAGAGATATTTGGGGTTTGTCTTTTCACAGGAGCTCTGGGGGTCATCCTGCCAGTGACCGTTGCGCGCCGGTCAGGCATGGGAAGGCGTCGCCACGAGCCTGAAGCTCAGTGGCTCTACCGGGCTTCGAGGTCACCGTCGTGTCCCCGAAACCCCCCCAGAGCTGAAGCTAAAGCCTGAGAAAAGTCCTATCTATACTACTGTATGACAGCATAATGACATCACTGGTGACACAGGTAGTAGTGGGCGGAGTTTGGAGGCTGAGAGGTGACTTCATCCCTCAACTTACAGTCATTATTAACAATATAATAATAATAATAATAATAATAATAATAATAACAACAATATTGAGCAAATAGTGTTGACAGCAGCAGGTGGAGTTCAGGGAAGCTTCATTAACACCACTCAGCTCCTCTCATAAGCAACAGACAGTTTAATGAGCCAAGATTTCAGGAGAAAACTGGTCTTCCAAAGACAAAAACATGCAGTTCCCTGAATGTTTAAAGCATGTTAAGTGAATGTAAAGCACATTTCTTATACAGCCTCCCCAATATATTGTATGTCTCAGCATTAGTGTGTTTTATAGTTCTATATTATACTTTTTGAAGTTGATACTGACTGAAAAATAAGTGGGTATACCTGAGTATATCCTGCACTACATTTGTGGTTCTCAACCTGGGGGTCGGGCCTCCACTAGGGGTCCTCAACGCTCATGGGGGAAGATACAGTCCTACAGTGATCACTTTATCATTTATTTATTTATATTGATTAGCGGTTTAGATTCCTGTTTTCAATTGTTCTGGAGTACTATGTGTGGTCGTCTGAGGCAGAGGGGCTGTGAGAGAATTTTCCTGTCTAGATTGTTTGATGGATACTTCTGGAAAGAAAGCTGCCAGACAGGTTTTTCTCTCTCACACTCCATAAAGTTGTTGTATTGTTAAGGTTATGCTGCAAGAAGCATGTGTAGGAGTAATTGTTATTTTTAGTGTTTAAACATGTATGTTTTACTCTTCTGTTTTTCGAGACTTTAGCAGCCTCGAAGGGGGGAAATATGTGGTATCCGAAGGCCTATAAATTTAAGTTACAGTTTGTTATAAGTTCAAGTGATATTTTTGTCAACATATGCAGTGTTAGTAAGACACTTGGACCTTTACCCTTTGACGTAAATATTTCAGTACATCTGATAGCTAAACCAGATGTTTCTTTACTATTTTCTTGAATAAACAATAGACCTATATAAAGCCTATGTTCGACGCAAACAGATAGAGTTGTTAATTTGGCAGGATGCTCTCCAAGCTCCGGGGGGCTTGAAATGATGCTGTACCTTTTCGTAATAAACCTTTATATACAATCAAGATGGTGTCAGCGGACTTCTATCCACACATCTTCACATCATCGCTACTTAATATACCACAATATATATATATATATATATTAACCTCTATCTATCACATAATGTTAGTGTTTATACCTTAACTATGAGAACCAACACTGTGTTTTATGCTTGTCTTTACAGGTACAGCAGTGAGCAGTGACCTACAGTCTACACAGCCCAGTGAAGTTAAACATATTATATATTACATAATATTAACAACATTAGTCAAGCAGGTGTTTCTAGTGAAGAAACAGCCAGTAAATGTACCAAAGTAATCAGAGTAATAGTATGATGATGACTGTAACCTCCCATCTGTTATATTCTTTATACACATTAGTTTACTGAGACCATGGAAACAGAAACCTGGAATACTTTATCCTGTACAACATGTCAACATAAGTGAAGGAATCACTCATCTAATAAAGTAAATTGTTTATGGGGTTGAAAAACTGCTAAGTAACCAACTGTAAACTGTACTGTATCCATATTTCATAGTCTGATATTTTAAGAATTATTACTAAAGTTAACCTTCAGTTAACTGAAACACTGGATACAGGTTATCAGTTCCAATGCCAATAGTGATAGTGGTGTAATGGTTCATACTACTGTGTGAGCTTTATTGTGATAGGAGCATCAGTGTTAGTGTGCTGTTTCAGTTAACCATCAGGAATAAGGAAGAAGAACTGAGGAGGACTCACGTGTTCCTGCTGGGTGGAGGCACGTTGAAGCTCGTTGTGACACATCATCATAATGTTGATTATATAACATCATACCTGACTGCCCTCGTCCAATCAGAGAGCAGGGTAAGATATAAAGGTTACGGCCAGCACTCTGGTGCAGGAAGAAGAACACAGAAGGA